ATTTCCCAGTCCAATTATCAAAAGAACAGGATTAAAAAGTTCACATAAAACAGATAAAATTTCATATATAGTAGATATTTCAATTGAACATAATTTACTAGATAATTGGAAAAAAATTACATAAGTAAATGTAATAAAATCAATAGAAAGCTGATGTGCTAAATATAATTTAAAATTAAAATCCAAATAAGAAAAAATTTCCTGTTTCATGCTCGAAACCTCTCCTATTCCACTCTCACCTGTGGTAATTGTTGTTGTTGCATTTGCATCACTTGATGTGCTGTTGGTTGCGGTTTTTTCTCCTTCTGTACGCCGACGCTACCGGCGTACATTGGCGCGGCGCCAACTGCCGCCGCAGTCGCCGGATGCGACACGAGTGCCATGTCGCCTAGAAAAATCTTGGGTAAACGAAAAATTTGGATTGTGGGTAGATATGCTGTTAGATTGTTGATGTAGAAAATTACACATAATTTGTCAGGGAAAAAAGTGGGTACTTATCGGTGCATTGTGGAATAGATACGATATGTTGAACAGTTTTCTAGAATGGAGAAAATCAATATTCATACGGTATGTTGAGTAGTTTTGTAGAATGGGGAAAATCAATGTTAATGAGCAACAGAATTATCGAAAGAAATTTTTTTAAAAATTCAAATATTTCATTTTTTGTTCCCAGTACTACGACTGATGAAAAATAGACACCGAATTGTATCGTAAGGGGATATAAGTGTATGCAATATTGTGAGATTACTGTAAGTAACGAAGAACATCTGTTTTTTGAGCTCCATTTCTACTTTATGGTAACCTAGCCAAGAGATCGTTCAGAACATTTCAAAAGCAAGAAAAAGCTGATCTTGTTGTAACCTATAGTACAGTATCCTCTAAGGAAAGAGTAAATGCACAGTGTAAGTTACACTGAAACAAAAATTTAAAGCATGTAAGGACAAACAATAGAAGGGTCATAAGCAAAAGGCGATTGTATTACTCTTAAACATCAACTGCTCGGATTCATCTTAATTTTCACATTTTGATGAATTATTCCCATTGACGTCAACTGCTCAATTATAACTATAGATAAAACGCAACAGCTAAATTCAATTCAATGAGATGATATCATAAAATTGGGAAAAAAACAGTGAAGCATGAATAATTAAGCACTAGCGATGTGAAATAAGCACAAGAAAATGTCTCTTGAACTCGCAAAAAGCGAATTCACACCCACTCACTTTCACATCGAAGATTAATCAGAAAGAACAGCAAACAACCGAATCGATCGATAATTACCGCTGCTATAGAAGACTAGTAGGCGCGGGCCTGAGGTCACTGGATGCCTTTTAGGGTCAAATTATATGTTATGTAGTCAAGGATGCATGTGTTTGCCCATATAATGCGACTCATTGGTGCAGCATACAGAAGAACGGCGAATTCAAATTTTGACTAGAGAAATCGATAATCGATTAGCTAGATTTCACTTCGTACATATCCAATATTTGTACAACGCAGGCAAAGACAAGATCCTTGCAACCTCTGGCATTTTGCAGGAGAAAAGGAAGAACTTCACTGACCTTCGATAAGATGCAGCTAAGTTTTGGATATTGGTAAAAACAAGCAAAATTTAAGAAGATTGCGCAAAAACCAGTCATTAATCGATTTTTTGAGTGGGAAATTTCCCTAAGGCTAAGTTTTGGGAGCCAATTCCTCAAGTATAGGCATTGAGTGATAATTTACGACTGACATTTTCGATTGCAGTAATAATAAGATGACCAAAAACAGTA